GCGCCGCCGACACGGGGTGTGCGGGCAGGGCTGTGCGTCAGCCGTGAGTCAGGCAGCGTGTGCGGGGGGTGCTGGCACTGCACGTGCATCCACACGCGCGGAGCGGCGGCGTGTTTGCCGGGCGTGCCTGCAAAGTGCTTGCCATAGGGACGCAGAGGCTCTGGGGTTGGAAAAGACCCCGAAGGTCATCGACTCCAGGTGCTAAACTAACGCGTGGGCACACGCGTGCAAGCAGCGCGCACGAGCGCGCACATGTGTGTGCAGAGCGTGACCCCGTGCGCGGGGGGTGCGCCCGCGTGGGCTGGCAGACACACGTGTGCATGTAAGAGGTGTGGGCGTGCTGTGTGTGCAGGGGGTGTGTGTGCACATGCATGTGCAGGAATGTAGGGGCTGCAAGGTGTGCCATGGTTGTGTGTGCCCAGTGACATGTCCAGGAGCCCCGTTCCCCACGTGGGAGTGCTGTGGGCACAGGGCTGCAGTCCCCCTATCCAGCCAGCCCCTGCCCTGGCCACAGGCTGCCTAGGGATCCCTCATTCCTTAAGTGTGGGGAAGGAGACTGCTGCTTCTCCACCCCTCCAGAGCATCCCTCCCTGGGGTCTCATGGAGGCGGACAGCATCCTGCCGAGCCTTGGAGCAGGGAACCTGCACCCTGAGCAGTGATGGCTGTGGCCAGGGCTGGGTGGAAAGACCCCAGGGGGTCTGCAGGGAAGTCAGTTACACAGTCCTGTTTATTTTTGCAGTAGTCCCACTCCATGGGAAAAATATTGGAGGCGGCAGAGCTGAAGCGATCTTAGCTCAAAGCGCTTTCCAGCTTCGCTCCAGCAGCTGCAGAAATTGCTGGGTTTTCCCCAGTCCTTGGTGCCTGAGTGCTGCATCAGGAAGGGACCAGACAGGAACCAGGACCTCCAAGCTGCGGGACATGGGCCACCAGCACAGCCCTTAGTCTCTACTAATGATTTAGGGCTTCCTTTGGGAAGGAGGCTGGGCAGATCTGCGGGGGGAGGGGGGGGGCTTTAGTACAGGAGGTGGGAAAACAGGCACAGCTGTCAGGGCTTAGGGCAGGCTGGGGTCTGCCCATCCTATCTCCCTGCTGCTGCCACCTCTGCAGGAGACAGAAGGTGGCACAACTGGTGATGTGCCCAATCGTGGGAAAAAAAGTGCCGCTCCCCATCTCTCCTGCCCTCTTTGCAGTGAGAGCGGCACCCTCCCTGAGCTGCAGTGGGAAACTGAGTCAAAGGACCCCTGGCGTGGGTGGTCTGGACTTGTCCCAGTAAGGGGACAGCTGTGTCCTAGAGGCTGCTACCCAGCCCACCACCAGTCACTCTTGCGACAGGCACACACAGTGCCCTTTCATCTGCCCATGGAGGGGGGCACCGCGCGGCTCGGGGTGGCACACTGGCCACCGGCCCTGAAAGGGCCAATTGAGCGCAGCTGAGGTCATCCCCCAGCATGTTTACCCCGTGCCCGCAGCCCCTGGATGCGGCCGGCACCCAGGCTTTCTCTCCCATCGCAAGCTGGGGGGACACGGCCACAGCAGAGCCGGCATCGCTGCCGGGGAGCAGAGGGGCCGCAGCGGGGCCGTGGGGCAGCATGGCCTTCCAGCCACCATACTCCCCGAGCCTCTTCAGGAGGAGGGATTGGTGAGTAGGGTCTGGTGCGGGCAGGGGGGGTACACACGTCAGCCCGGTGGCGCAGGGGACAGACCCCTGCCTGCTCTCTGCAGTGCCAGCCCCGCACTCAGCCCTTGCCCAGCAGCACTGCGTGGGCTGGGCTGGTGCCAGCACAGGGGGATATGCATCATCTCCCCCACAGGTCCCAGACGGGCCCACTGGGGAGACAATGCTTTCTCACATCCCCACATCAAACCCGTGTGTGCCGGGGCAGCCGGGCGTGCCTGGCTGCGGTTTGTGGGCAGCACAGCATCTCATGCAGGGTGCCTGTGCCCTTTGCCCCGCGGGACCCCGCAACCCTCGCCCTGCCCTGGGAGGTCGGTGCGATTTGCAGAGAGCTGACTGGCCAGGTCTGGCTCTCGGCAGCAGCTGTAGTGCACTGTGCCTCAGTTTTCCTTTCTGATGGGGAAATACCACCTTGTTCCCCCTCCCCAGCTGAGGAAGGGGTCTGGCAGCACACCTGTCAGTCAGGGCTCCTTGGTCTCTCCCAACAGTCAGCTGCCAGGCACCTTCAGGATCCCTTGGATCAGGGCCTTCGGGGTCCTCTGCAGCATTCCTGGGGTGCACATGTGTCGTGAATGAGTGTTTTAAGGTCGCTTAAAGTGCCCTGCCAGCTCTAACATTTTCTTGGATGCTGCACCGTGCATGAGCTCTGCCACGGGGTCTGTTCAGCATCA